ATATTTTCACATCATGATTGTATTAACAATTCACAGTAACTGAAGAATAAAATCCAAATAAACCTTAAATATCTGTCAAGTGAAATTGAAACTTGTCCTGTCTCTGAGGAAATTTTTATCATGCTTTGTGATTTTACTTAAATGGGGTACATAAAGGGATCAAATTCATGAAGATAGAAAGTAGAATAGTGCTTTCCAGAGGTAGATGGAAGAGGGAATGAAGAAATATTATTTAATAAATATTGTATCAATTTGAGAAAATTAAAAATTGGGGATAGTGGTTTATGGCACTTGCCTTCCAAGCAACTAACCCAGATTCGAACCTAAAACCACTTATGACCCCCTGAGCACAGAGCCTTGAGTAAGCCCAAGCACAGCTAGGTGTGCCCCAAAACAACAGCAGAGGAAGTTTCTGATGATAGATGGTGAAAATGTTTGCAAGGAGAGTGAATACACAGACATGTATACTTGGAATGATTATTATGTAAATTTGATGTCATTTACATTTTGCCACAATTAAAAACCAAAAGAAAGTAGTGACTGTGACTCCCAGGACAGTGAGCACAGAGGATCAGAGAAAGACTGAGAAATCTAGTTTTGTAAGAAATACAAATGACTGTGCTTGTTCGGGATATAAACATGTTATTTTTCATGAAATTTGTTTTAAAATTAGTTACAACCTACTAGATATTCTGATGGATGCAGTGTTTTCCAGACCAGCAGCTCCTCACTGGCTGCATGCAGACTGGCAGTTAACCACTGCAGTAGATAAGGCATTCTCTTAGCAGCCGCAGTCTTGGGTGGGTGAAAGAGAATAATGCAGTTTTTCTTGGCTAGAATATAATTTTGAATAACATTTTCTCATGTTTTTATTATAATAATCTCTTCCAAAATGATAAGGTCTTGGAACAGATGATTATGAGCTCATTGAGAACAAGGAAGCCTCTATTAGAAAAAGGGAGTTTGATACATCGAGAGACAGAGTCTGATAAAAGTTAAGAACAAATTTGAAACTTCCTCTTTATAACCATGTTTCACTGCATACACATTTTTTTAGGAGAGAAAAACCTATAAGCTAGAGATCTTTATCATATCATAAACAAAATGATGTCAGCAGTAAAATGATCTGAGAGTTATTTTCAGTGATATATTTTGGAATGTTGAACTGGAGTAGCTTGAGTCGAACTACATGGTATAGAACAGGGCTCTTTGGATTATGCAATATGCTGTTTGGTGGATCTACAAAAGGGAGATGTTTTTAAAGAAAATATGAGATCAGGGAATTTGGGAAACAGTAAAGTTTATGTAAAACCAGCTTTCTCAATGAGGAAAATTTCAGTAAAATTTCTGTTCCTCACTGTGTCCTTGTGAGGTATACAAACTGCAAGAATATGATTCTGTCAAGTGGTCCTTCATAGAGAATGAGACCAAAGCCTATTATCACCTGGCTTGCACAATCTGTGCCAATTCTCATGTTAACTTCAAATTCTAACTTCTCTTTAATTTCAGCATTTCCAAGCCAATGATGAAAATATGATATGCAGATAAATTAAGCTCTTTTAGTTTATTTATGAAGAGTTTATCTTGCATACAACTAACCAAGGTTTTAACCCCAAACCACTTATGATTCCCTGAGCGTATCTATGAAGATAAACTAAAAGAGAAACATTTCTCTTTCACTTGGCTTTTTCCTGGTTCTGTACTGAGTATCAGTTCTGACATTGCTAGTGGACCATATGTGATTCATTTCATTTCATCATCCTGTTAATCGTCGATTGCCTCGAGCAGGCCCCAGTAACGTCTCTTTCATCCTAGCCCTGAGATTATATTCACGGCTCTTTAGGAGAATGAGACCCATCATTGTTACTGGTATTTGGCATATTTGGTAGGCCACGGGGAGTTTGCCAGACTCTGACCTGTGGGCAGGCTACATTTGATAGCCTGCAAGTTTGTCCCAAGTTTGCCGCGCGGTTCCGGGATCTGGATTTTATAGTCTCTGAGTCTTGGCCGCTGATGGGATTACACGGCGCCAGGGGGCCAGGTGGTGGGTGTGACCCCCACCTACTGGAATTTGGAGGATCTGGGTGGAAGATGCTCGACTCCAATTCGAGTAGGCTTGGAGGTCTCGGCCCCGGAACCCGCGTGGCTTTGTCCCTCTGCCAGTACCTTCATGTGTGCGGAGAGTGGTCTCAGCATGGTGGTGGCTGGTCCTGGAGGTCTTCGGCTGCCGTAGCCCTGGTCGGGGCGGGGAGGAAAGCTCAACCCGCTCCCCTCCAAGGGACTCCGGGAAGGAACACCCAGGCGCGGGGGCAGAGACTGCACTGTTCTCGTCCGGGATCTGGATTTTATAGTCTCTGAGTCTTGGCCGCTGATGGGATTACACGGCGCCAGGGGGCCAGGTGGTGGGTGTGACCCCCGCCTACTGGAATTTGGAGGATCTGGGTGGAAGATGCTCGACTCCAATTCGAGTAGGCTTGGAGGTCTCGGCCCCGGAACCCGCGTGGCTTTGTCCCTCTGCCAGTACCTTCATGTGTGCGGAGAGTGGTCTCAGCATGGTGGTGGCTGGTCCTGGAGGTCTTCGGCTGCCGTAGCCCTGGTCGGGGCGGGGAGGAAAGCTCAACCCGCTCCCCTCCAAGGGACTCCGGGAAGGAACACCCAGGCGCGGGGTGTTCCAGTCTCTGCCCCCGCGCCTGGGTGTTCCTTCCCGGAGTCCCTTGGAGGGGGGCGGGTTGAGCTTTCCTCCCCGCCCCGACCAGGGCTACGGCAGCCGAAGACCTCCAGGACCAGCCACCACCATGCTGAGACCACTCTCCGCACACATGAAGGTACTGGCAGAGGGACAAAGCCACGCGGGTTCCGGGGCCGAGACCTCCAAGCCTACTCGAATTGGAGTCGAGCATCTTCCACCCAGATCCTCCAAATTCCAGTAGGCGGGGGTCACACCCACCACCTGGCCCCCTGGCGCCGTGTAATCCCATCAGCGGCCAAGACTCAGAGACTATAAAATCCAGATCCCGGACCATATGTGATGACAGGATTAAATCTGGGTTGGTCATGTGCAAGACCCTGTTGGTTTTGTACTATTGCTCTGGCCCTATCATTATTCTTCATTAACATGTTATTCCTAGTGGCTTAGCATTGTCCTTCTAAAGTAGTCTATAATGTACTTTGAACTGAAACTTCCCCATGGATATGAAACTTAATATCAAGTAGGTTATGCAAGGCTAGATGCTATGTATGACAAGCAAAAATCCAAGATTGAATGGTTTAATAAATCAGAGGTTTGTTTCTCACTTCATGAAAACATGCAACTTACTGCTATGTAGATGGTTCTGGAGAATCTTGATAATTGAAATTAGTCAGAAAGCAAGGGACAGACACAGAATAATCTCTCTCATATGTGTGTTATAAAACCACATAGTAGGGGCATAACAAATACCCAAAAGGCAACAGAAACTGAGAACTACTGAGAAGGAAACATACCATGGGATGGGGAGATTTGGGGTGAAATGCAGGGACAGTGGTGGAGAGAAGCAGTCGTTCTGTGGAATATGTGGTGCTGGAATGTTTTATTCTTGAAACCCTACCACTAATGGTCCGGTAAACCAAGGTGCTTACCACAAAACTTTGAAAAAATAGCTGATATCTTTAGTTTGTCATCATTAATATCTGAATGTAAAATTTGGCATGATACAACTAGCAACTCATAATAATAAAGAACCAAAATAAAATTTGGAAAAAACTCTCACTAGACATTAAGGAAATACAAAATAAGACATAAATGAGAGGCCTTTTCAAATAGATACATATATTAAATTATTATACCATTTGATCTTGATAGGATTTGTAGAAAAACCGATTTGGTAAGAGTATAAACTGGTACAGCAATCCACTTCTGTGATTCAACATAAGAATTTGAGCAAAGATATATACAAATATTTAGTTGTAACAACATGCACCACACTTATATTTAAAAGAGAAAATGGTATAATTAACAATAAAACATATATATATATATTTTGTGTGTGTGTGTCCCTGAGTAGGCTTTTCTTATATTTAAATTTTGAAAAACAGAAAGATGTAGCAGTTCTTAATCCTTAAGTGTTTCAACTAGGAAATGCTATAAAATTGGTAAAGTAAAACTTAAAAACCTTGTTCTATGCTTGATTTGTGATATATAATGGTTTCAGTTTGGGGGGCTGGAGTGATAGTATAACAGGTTAGACACTTGCCTTTTATCCAGTTGATCCAGGTTCAATCTCTGATCCCTGAATGCAGAGTCAGAAGTAAGTCCCTGGGCACCACTAGATGTCCTCTCCCCAAAACTCCCTCCCAAAGCAAAATACTTTCATTTAAAAAAAAGTCTCATTCTGTTACTTTATATTTCCCAGATGAGTTCAGTCTGTCTTTCTATGTCTGTCCCTCTCTTTCTGACTCATTTCACACCAAAGAATAGTTGAGATAAGTACCAGGAGGTCTGCTCCATGACTTGGAAGCTGTCAGCACATGCTGGGGGAAAAGGCAGGTCAGATAGATAAGGGAACACCAAGTAAAGGAAGTTTGTATGACTCGCTTGGGATGCGAGATGCATGCTGAAAGTAGACTATAGGCGGAACACAATGGCTACTCAATACCTCAATTGCAAACTACAACACCCTAAAAGAAAGGGAGAGCAAAAGGGAATGCCCTGCCACAGAGATGGGGTGGGGTGGGGGGATGTGTTGGGGGGGGGTGAGAGACTACTGGGATCATTGGTGGTGGAGAATGGGCACTGGTGGAGGAATGGGGACTTGATCATTGTATAACTGAAACCCAAGCACGAAAGTTTGTAAGTCTACAACTGTACCTCATGGTGTTTCACTAATAAAAAGCAGGAGAAAACAAAACAAAAAAAAAAGTCTCACAATGTTACTGGGCCTGCTTGAGCAAACACACAGTGACAGTGACAGTGACAGATTATCATATTAAAAGATGGACTTTTCATTATTTTTCTTCTTTAGGCTTTTCCTCCAAATGCCATCACTGTATTTTTTTACTGCAGTTCAGTGACTATATTCTTCACAATAATCAAAGTAGTCAGTTACCGCCTACACCTTATGTTTGACAAAGGAGAAGTAATCCAGCAAAAACCCTCCCTGAAGAAAGAAAAGGCAATCAAAGACAAAGAAGCCAGAAGTGAACATACAGTTAATCACAAAAACTCAAGGTAACATTTCTAATTAATGAATCTGTTAATAATTTAAAAGTTTTAGTTTTTATTAATACACCTTTCCTTATTTTTAGTTAATTATGAAAATATGCCTATATACAGCACTGTTCTCCCGTTGTTCATCGATTTGCTCAAGCAGACACCAGTTACATCTCACAACAAATTGTGAGACTTCTTGTTACTGTTTTAGACATATTGAATATGTAACGGGGAGCTTGCCAGGCTTTGCTGTGCAGACAGGATACTCTTGATAGCTTGCTGGGCTCTCCGAGAGGGGCAGAGTGTAAAATCTATGAGGTTGAAGGTTGAGTGTTCGTGGGGTCTCTGGACGGTTCTATATCACCGTTCGGTGCTCTTGAGCCACCGTTTATGGCCTGGATCGGGACGACTGTTGGCCAAGGGAAAATGAAGGAAGAAATGAGGCCAGGCTGGTCTTCATTGCAGTTTATTCCAATCCTCTCTTCCTTCACTCCTGTCTCTCCTCTCCTCTCTCTCCAATTGCTTGCTCCTGTATCTTCTACTTTCACCTCTCTCTTTCCTCCTTGCTAACCCCTCCGCAGTCCATCTTGCCTGCTGCCCTGCTCTCTCTCCTCACTATATATGTTCATATATATAATACATGCACATATGTATACACGTAAACATGTATACATATTGTTATTATATCTAAACATTTACTTTAGCATAAAATTGCTATTGATGATTAAGGTGGCTTAACAATTAACATGACCTTATAAACTTACTACAGAACACTGGTATTCAGCCACTGTCCATGAACCCATGTAGGTTCATCGGTGCAGAAAGATTAATGGATGCTGTTCTGGAACTTGTTTGCATTTTGATTTAGCACTGAAAAATATTATGGGCCATACCCTGAAATGCTCAGGTTACTCCTGGCTCTGCACTCAAGAATTAGTCTTGGTAGTGGTCAGAGTGACCATAGAGGATGCCAGGGTTTGAACACAGGGTGGCTATATGCAATCCTGGCACCTTATCTGTTGTACTATCTTTGCGGCCCCTATTTTAATATTTTCTTGTTATTTAATACTAAGAACAGGCCAGGGTAATTTTAAGAAGAGCATTCTGTGTTTGTTAATATGAAAGTAGTACATTGCACAGAAACTAAAAAATTGAGTAACTATTAAGTGCTTCTAACTATTTTCACTTTTCTGATGAAATGAGTATTTAAAGTCATGATTGCTACTATGTCAGTAGCAATTTGTTTACAAATAACATGACAAGATGTAATCTAAATAAAAATTATTTTTGAAATGATACTTGATGACTCATATTTTTCTTTGTTTCTCTTGTTGAATTAATAACGGGAGGATTAACAATGGCAAACAAGAAGAGGCCAATCGAAACCTCTCTACACCTCTCCACTGCAGTTCTAGAGGACAAAGCGTTAACTCTCAACACTCTTCTGGACTACTGGTTAGTGGCTGATTTTCATTTCAACTTTCTTCTTTGTACAATAGTGTCAATGATACCTAGAATGTGAGCATGTGATGAAACTGATTGGAACCTACTCTAGTTGGAAATACTGCTTTTTGTGTAATATTACATCTCAGTTTGGAAATGACTCAAGGAGTGTTTTAGGATAATAAGATAAATTCCCAGTCTTATGTTGGAAATACGTTGCAAACTTCTTTTGCTGTTTCCTCTACCCTGCCACTCCAACCAGAGGAACAGATTTATTTATTTGTTTATTTCCTGTAGCGCTTCTCATGACTCCTTTATTTATTTATTTTTATTTTTTAAAAAAATTATGTATTTCTATAAAGTGGTTCACAATATTTGATTACATTTAATATTTGAACACCAATCCCACCACCTTCCCACTTTCCCACCATCGTATTTCGTATATTTTCATCCTGAACCTGAACCCTTGTCCCAAAAAAGAACTGAAATAATTTATTTTGTATTGTTTGTTATGAATAAACCACTGAAAATGCTCCAAAAAAGTTTCCTTAGAGAAAAGTGTGTGAAGATTGTTGTATTTCACCCAGAAGCCATTAAGTTCTTCCATAAGAGATTATTAATGTGTTGTTAAAGGTTGAGCCTTGTGTACTTACGTGTGTGTGTGTGTGTGTGTGTGTGTGTGTATCTGTAAAAATATATTTCACTCTAAGATTGGTTGCCTTCTACTTTAAACCCCATCAGAAGTGATGTGCTGCTACTCTTGGAGTATGAGTGGTGTGAGGTATGAGATGTCTCGCTGCACGGTCCAGGAATAGGTTCATACATGGGTGAGGCTAGTCCAAGCATGTGGAGAGTGGCTGTGAGCATGGCAGCGGTTGAGTTCTGGAGATTTTTGGCCATTGGGGCTGGATCCATTGGGGCAGGGAGGGGGCCTCACCCGCCCCCCTCTGGGGTGCCCCAAATGAAATAGCCTGGCTCGGGGGTCCTGCGACATGGCAATGGCGTAGTCTTATGCTCTCTTCTGCAGAGGAACAAATTTAGATTTTGACTTTTCTCTCCTTTTGTTTTCATCTGTCATTTATAAATAATCCTACCGCTAATATTTTTTTTTCTGGTACCTACTTCACTTCTCCACATTCATTCACACTTGTCTCTTAGAAAATTTATACAGTAATCCTTGCTTTGGAAAAAGGATCAGAAAGAATAGTGAAATTTAATTGGATGAGACTATGCTCACAGGCCATCTCAATGCCATATGGGATCCCAGATTCAATTCAGTATTTCAGAGAATAGCTATGTTATTTGAATACTTTCTGTAGTTACTACCATTATACAATTTTAACTGCCATGTTTTGATAAGGTTTATATGATTATAGGTTAGTAAGATTTTAAGATTAAGATTAGAAGAAGGACATATGGCCACTTTGTACTATGTTTGACACTGCTATGAATGCCTAAAAATTATTTGTAAATTAAAAAGTAAAGAATATTAAAACTTTCCAAAAATTGTGATATATCACTTTATTTTTACAAAAGACCTGCATTAGTATCAGTTTTCAAAGAGAATTTTTTCTTTTGCAACAAAGGCTACAACTGCAAATAGACTTCAGCATTGGCTTTGCAGCATTGCCAAACAATGGGAGTGACTTCAGTGTCTACTGTCTATATCAGGATACTCCTGCCCTAGAACTATTTTCTATAGACTGTGTCAGTTGTCACAATGGAGACGTTACTGGGCCCGCTCAAGCAAATCGATGAACAACGGGAGGACAGTGACAGTGACAGTGTATTTCATGTGTTCTTTCTGTTTTTACTATATGGTAATATTAGATTTTGTTTATTCTGTATGATTTCCTATATTATTTTTATGTCTAGAAAAGCTCAAAATATTGTCCATGTAAATAGAAGGCATTTGCTTCTTTGCTTTTAATAATTTTGCCCTATTAAAGTTTTCATAGTATTCTTCACTTTCTGATAGCAGGAAAAAAACTGTCAGTCATTTTTCATTTTTTTTCAAATTAACTATTGGACTTTATTGCATCTAACATAAATTATCACATTATTCCTTCTCCCTTTTACTTTCTTAATTATCAATCTCTTTTTAAATTCATAACTCAGGGACAATGATGTAGTCCAGGAGTTAAGGCACTTGCCTTGAATGCGGTGGAATCTGATTCTGTCCCTAGCACTACCAGGAATGAATTCAGAGCCAGGAGTTACCTTTGAGCATCTCTGATGTGGCTCTCAAGAAAAAAAAATTATAATACAGAAGGCTTGGTTAGATATCTATATACATATGCATACGAATGTACATATGCATGTATATGCATCTACATGTATATATATATACATATATATACATATCTGTCACTGTCACTGTCATTGTCCTCCTGCTCTGTTCATCGATTTGCTCAAGCGGGCCCAGTAATGCCTCCATTATGAGACTTGTTACTGTGTTTATATATACATATATATATGTATATTGCTACCCATTTTATCAGAAGCCAAAACTATTTCTTCCCTGTTTGACTATAGTTCCAAGGATTTTAGGTTTCACATTGGGTTGACCTTTCTCCTCCAGCAGGAAGTTTAGCTTACTTGAATTACGCCTACCACAGTGCACTTGAGGCACACCCAATTCCGTGTAGTCACTCCCAATCCTCTGTGTTTCTTTAACATCGCCTTTATGTTTTCCTTCCCCTATTTGTTAGTCACAAATATCTCCAAATCAGACAAGGTAACTTATCTTTCTGTGGCTCTGGATTTTGCATATGTAAGTGAAATATTGTTTTTCTCTTTCCTTTATGTCTTTTGCATATTTTTATTTTAGAACAATATCCTTTTTGAAATTTAATTTTTTATAAAGTTGTTCACCATAATTTATTACACTTAGTATTCCAATACCAATCCCACCACTATTACACCTTCCCAAAACCATTATTTCAAATTTTCCCAAACACCACCCAAGCCTGCCCCAATAGCAGTCCCTAAATAACTCATTCTGTATTGCTTGTTATAACAAATTTGCTAAAAATTATCAAAAAAAGTTTCCTTAGAAGAAAGTGTGCGAAAATTGTTGTATCTCACCCTGGAATCATTAAGCTTTTGTATAAGAGATTACTAACATGTTTTTACGGGTTGAGCCTTGTGTGCTAATATTCTTTTAATCGAGATTGGTCACTTTCTACTTTACATCTTGCCAATATGAGGTGCTACTCCTGGTACATCAGTGGTGTAGAGTATGGGATGTCACAAGGCCACGAATGTAGCTATATGCTCCAGGGATTTTAAAATTTTAAATGGGGTGATGCAGCTGGAGTTAAATTTTTAACTAGATGGTGACTATGGGGTCAGGAGGCACCTCTGCAGCTTGTTGATCTCTTCTGAGACTTAGTTGTGAGTCTCTGGATCATGGCCATTAATTAGCCTGTGTGAAGCTAGAGGCTGTTCATGGATGTCACTGCCAGGTTCCTGGAAGAACAGGGAGATGAGAGAGAGATCTCCCAGCCCCAACTCCATGATAGCCTGGAGATGTCAGTCACAAAACCTGCATATCTGAGGTTTTTCAACAGATTCATGAGACTTGTCTCGAGTCTGTGGAGATCTGTCTGAGCATGGCGGCGATTGGGTTCTAGAGGTTTTTGGCTGCTCGGGTCCTGTTTGTGTGGGTGGTGGGTGCACCTGCCCCTCTCCAGGGTGCCCTGGATATAAGATTTAGCCTGACACCGTGTCTGGAGGCATCTCTGCAGCTTGTTGATCTCTTCCAAGATTTATTTGTGAGTTTTTGGACCATGGCCAATAAATGAGCATATAGCAATGCTTAGAGCAAAGTTCTTTTTGTACAGACTCAAGAAGACAGTTAATGCTATGCTTTTTATAATTTGGGAGCTAATTGACTCCTAATAATATTTACTCCTGGCATCTGTCATATTTACTTAAAGCCTAGTTATCCTTAGATTGACCTTAGATCTTTACACCCAAAAAGTGGGTCCCTCCAAGGAGCTTGGATGGACCTGGGGCAAGCCAAAGCTACCCTGGCTTACACATCGGACAGCCTAAGCGCCATAAGAAGTATTTATGTTATATATAATATGTATTTAATAATGATTTAATAATAAGTTAAGAGCACTGTCATGGAACAAACTTTGTCATGACCAAAAAAAAGTAACCGAATAAGGACTCTGCTGGGGTTAGGAAAAACTAACTTAGCCTGAGGATTGTAGTTTGGAAATATAGCAAGATGTCCCTAGGAAAAGCCATCCTTTACTATGAGTCTAAAGAAACCATTTAAGCTTAATGTAACGTACATAAAAAGAGAGGGAGGTCTATATCTCTTACTGTGCTCACACAGAATGACTAGAAATATTATTAAAGAGTAAATTTAATATGATTGTTTAAATGGATCACTAGTAAAGGAAAGGAGAAAACAATATATCATTTACATATACAAAATCCAGAGCCATAGAAAGTTTTGACTTTATAAGTTACCACGTCTGATTTGGAGATATTTGTGACTAACAGATAGTGGAAGAAGAACACAGAGGAGAGGTTAAAGCTAAACACAGGATTGGGAGTGCCTGCACAGAATTGGGTGTGCCTTAGGAGCACTGTGGTAGGTGTAATTCAATTAAGTTAAGCTCCCTGCTAGAAGAGTAACAACCCAATGTGAAACCTAAAATCCTTGGAACTATAATCCAACACTTTGCCACATGCCATTAACAGAGACTGTTGCTCAGTCTGCTGACTGCCTGGAAATCAACAATGAAATGAATCATATATTGATTTTTGTTCTTTTATTTATTTAGGAGCTGCCAGCACAAGAAACAGTTGAAGATCTCAAAGGTAGAATGTTTGTTATCATTTCATATTGTCTCATAAAATTATTCTCAGTGAAATGAGAATGTTTTTTGTAAAACAGAATGCCTATTAATTTATTCCAGTTGTATTTGAATTTTATTCCTTTAATACTTAGCTTTATATTCTTATCAGAATTTGAATTTTATCTCTGTATTTAATTATATAATTTTATTGATCATATTTCATTATTCTTTGTTCAGTTTGTGCTCTATATCCTATGACTCATAATAGTAAATATAAAGTAGGATAAATTTATCACTAACATATTTAGTTTTTATTATAGTGCTTAAATCACAAGAAATTATATAGCATCGTATATATGAATTTCTTTCAATTTATAAACTTTTGATTTAGGAACCTTCTTTGAATCCCCCAATTTTATATTGATATTACATTTTATTGTCTTTTGATTATATTCAGAAATGTTAGGAAAAACTTTTGGGTGATCTGAATAAATCCCTTATTTTCTCTGCAATTCAATTATTTATAGTTATAGTACAAGAAAAAAATGTATGCTCTAATTAAAACTTTAAAATAGCATGAATAAAATATGAAGATAATGTGAATTTTAACTTTCTGGAAAAACAGCTAAAATTAACAAAATTGCCTTGAAAGCCCTCAATTCAAGTAATTTTTTAATTTATTTATTTTTAAGTTAGAAATGATCACTCTGGACAAAAACTTAGTGTTGGAAGTAGGTAAACAGATACACATGATAACCTTTCAGCACTTATACAGCAAACCACATTTCACAAAAGGAGAGGGGGAAGGTGTCAGGCGTGAGGGAGTGGGGGGTGGGCAGGAGGGAAAATGGGAATTGCGGACATTGGTGATAGGAAACGTTCACTAGTGAAGAGCCAGCTGTTGTAACATTATATGACTGAAACCCAATGATGAAAAACTTTGTAACTGTGATTCAATAAAAAAAATATTTTAAATTAAGTTAATTTTATTGAGTCACACAGCGGGTAGGGCATTTGCCTTGCACGCGGTCACCCAGCCAACCCGAGTTCGATTCCTCCGCTCTTCTCAGAGAGCCTGGCAAGCTACCGAGAGTATCTCGCCCACACGGCAAAACCTGGTAAGCTGCCCGTGAAGTATTCGATATGCCAAACACAGTAACAACAAGTCTCATGATGGAGACGTTACTGGGCCTGCTTGAGCAAATTGATGAACAATGGGAGGACAGTGTTACAGTGCTTATTGAGTCACCATGGGATATAGTTGCAAAATTGTTCATGATTAGGAAATGAAGTTTCTTTTTGATCACTCATTTAAGTACCATGATATTTTAAAAATCATTCTTTTCTATATTTTAACAACCAAAATAAAATTCGTCAGTCTTCAAATATTTTACTCATTCACAATATTTCATCACATTGTTATTACATCAAGAAAAATATACAGCTGCTCTATAGACCTGTACCTGACTACTATAGTAAATATAGGGTTCTTTTTAAATTTTGTTTTGTTTTGTTGGAAAGGTGGGCCCCACTTGACAGTATAGGGGTACTCTTAGTTCTCTGCATGGTGGTCATTTCTTGTTATTAAAGGGGGCCATATGGTGCTGGGGATTAAACTGAGGTTCGCTTGCGGAACATGAATTTAGTCCTTTGAGCTATTGTTTACAACTCTCCAAATTCAGGGTGTTTTGCAGGGGCTGGAGTGGTCAAACCCTGGTGCTCAGTAATTCCCGGTGCGCAGGGATTACTCCTGGCTGGGCTCGGGAAACCATATGGGGTGCTGGGGATCAAATATGAGTTGGTCACTAGGAAAGCAAGTGTTCTACCCACTGTATACTCTCTCCAGTGCCCAAATCCAGATATTTTTAAAGCAAAACAAAACTAAAGCAATTTATATATATATTTTAAAAAATCTCATAATAGACCATCAAAGTGGCCAATACTTTTTTATGTTAAAAACTATAATGCCATTCTTCATTTATTTATAATTGATTTGAAAAGGTTTCCCAAGGGAGCCCTGGGCTCACTCCTGGTGATACTTGGAGCAGTGCTGCTCAGGTTCAGTAGTGTTGTGCCACTAGGGTTATTCAGTTGCATTAGAGAGTCATTGAAGTGCAGGCCTCACCATGTCCAGTGTGCTGAAAACCCTTTTGAGCTATTTCTGTGTGTGTGTGTGTGTGTGTGTGTGTGTGTGTGATTTTTATACATTTTATTTTCATAAAGTAGTTCACACTATTTCATTACAGATAATATTCAAATACCCACCCTACCAGGGAGCATCTTCCCACCACAATAAGAGGGAGGCGTGCTAAGGTTGTTGTATTTCATTCTGGGACTATTTAAGCCTGTATATAAGAGAATAAAAGCAAGTATGTTAAAATCAAACACATGTTTTGACCTATTTCTTGGGCCTCCTCCTTCTCCTCCTCCTTTTCTTCCTCTTCCTCTTTCTCATCTTCTCCTTTTTCCTTTCTCCCTCTTACTTCTTTCTTCTTCTTCTTCCCTGTGGCACTAAGGCTCTTGGCTCTATGCTCAGGGATCATTCCTGACAGGCTCAGGGAACTGCATGCAGAGCTAGGAATCAAACCTGGGTCACCCTCATGCAAGGCAAATACCCTACCTTCTATATTACCTCTCTGGCCCCCTCATTCAGGTACCAGGTACCATACAGCACTTAATCACTTAATCACTTAATCCCCGTTATTCATCGATTTATTTGAGCGGGTGCCAGTAACGTCTCCATTCATCCCGGTTGCGTGCTAGCGTAGCCCAATGGTATCTGTTCGTTTTAGGAACATGCAGAGCCTCAAACCGATCATTTAGGGTCTTGACGAAGAAGTCTGACCATCTTATAGGTGGGCGTCCACGTGATCTTTTGATGTCTCGTGGAATCCAATCAGTAATGGCTCTAGTCCAGCGGTTGTCTGTAAACCTCATTACGTGTCCAGCCCATCTGATTTTTGATGTCTTGGCAAATGAGACAGCGTCCCTGATTTTTGAGCGTTGACGAAGATCAGAACTCCGGATTCTATGTCTCATTTGAGTGAATTGTGATATTCCAAGCATAGTTCTTTCGATTCCTCTTTGAGAGACCCGAATAGTGTTCTCATCCTGTTTTCGTAGGGTCCAGGTCTCTGAGGCATATGTTAATGCAGGAAGAATAGTGGAATCAAAGAGATGTGTTCGTAGCTGGAGGTTCTTTGTCCTTTTAGTTATTTCTTCAATGCTCTTGAAGGCATTCCAAGCCGCTCTCTTCCTCCTGCGCAACTCAGGTGCCAGGTCATTCATCATGTTGATTTCTCGACCTAGGTATATATAACTGTTGCATTCGGAGATGGTGGTTCCGTTGAGAGCGAATGGAGCGTCAGGAACAAGGCTGTTTCTCATAAACATTGTCTTCGTAAGATTCAGCTGTAGTCCGACCTTTCCACATTCACGGTCAAAGTCGTTCAGCATTTGTGCCGCTTGGTTGATGTTTGGTGTTATTAGAACAATGTCATCAGCAAAGCGGAGGTGGTGTAGTTGCCGACCATCTATCTTCACTCCCATGTTTTCCCATTCCAGTCGTCGCATGATGTTCTCGAGGGTGGCACTGAAGAGTTTTGGTGAAATGGTATCACCCTGCCGAACCCCTCTCTTGATATGGATGATTACTTCTTTGTAGAATGGTGAGATCTTGGTAGTGAATCTGCAATAGAGCTCACGAAGGATCCTGATGTATTGAGTTTGTACGCCCTGATTGGCTAGGGCTTCCATGACCGCTTTCGTCTCAACAGAATCAAAGGCCTTCTTTAAATCAATGAGCGTTAGACAGAGCGGTATCTTGAACTCCCGAGATACCTCAATGAGCTTGGTTATTGTGTGGATATGGTCAATGGTACTGAATCCTTTTCGGAATCCAGCTTGTTCACATGGTTGTCCTTCATCTAGTGTTCTGCTAATCCTATTCAGGATGACTCGAGTGAATAGTTTGTAGATGACAGACAATAGGCAGATTGGGCGATAGTTGCCAATGTCGTGGATGTCTCCTTTCTTGTATAGTAGTACAGTCTTGCTGGTTTTCCATTGGGATGGAACCTTGCATTCAGACAGGTAGCGTGTGAAGAGTCGAGCCAATGTATTGATGAGTACTGATGGTAAGTTCTTCAGGTGTTCAGGTCTGATCTTGTCTGGGCCAGGTGCTCTTTGTTTCTTTACCGACGAGATGGCATGTTGGATTTCGGAAGGGAGAACATTGGGAACGACATATCCATCATGTGGTATGTGGTATGTGGGCAAGTGGATGTGGCTATTAAAGAGATCTGAGTAGAAGTCATAAATAATCTTCTCCATTGCCCTTCTGGAAGATGTGATAGATCCATCATGATGTCGGAGGGCAGTCATCTTGGTTTTGTAGTTGGTGAAGGACAGGCGGGCATTACGAATGTTTTTCCCAGCTTCTGCTGCATCTACCAGTACTGCTGCTCTCCTGTTTTTGAGGTCATCCTTGATGGCTTTTCTGCACTGTTTTGCCAGTTTGGACGTTTGCTTGTGGTTGCCTGAGGCACGTGCCAAGCCACGTTGGCGAATAAGTTCAAGAGTGTTCGAAGAAAGACGGTTTTTTGTGGTTATCTCTCTCTTGGCATTCCTTGCACAATCATGGAGGTGCTGAATCATTCGATCGTATTCCTCATCAATGTTGTCAATTTAAAATGTATGATTCAGGGCTGAAGAGGTAACACAGGGGTTAAGCTGCAGATGATGCAAGCAGCAGACACTGGTTCAATCTCTGGCACACATGATGCCCCAAGGAGCCCAAGGTACAGGGATAGAGTGAACACTGCTGAGGATGGTCCTGCAGCACCCCCAGCATTACCAGAGTGGCCCTGGTGATTCTCTGCATTGTAAGGCCTGAGCAGCACTGCATCCTTGGACACTTGCGTTTAACTTCTGGGTAGAAATGCTAGTGGCGTCCACACTTCCCAAGTCCTACTTGGGAAGCCCCAAATCCCCTGAAGTGTAAAGTGTATGATTCAATTCTAT